AACCCCCATCGCCATCCATCGTAGAACATGATCTCGAGCCCTGCCCCACAGCCCCTCAGCCACTACACCATCATAGTCACTCGCGCGAGCCGCTCGATGCGCGAGGCGAGATCGAGGCCGGCGTAGTGCTGCTGCATCGACCTCTCTCGCTCCTGCTCGTTCCAGCCGAAGATGCAGTCGATGTCTGTGATGGTAGCGCCCGTGACATCGCTCGTGTCCCGCGCCACCTTGTCCGAGAACCGTCGGTTCGAATGGTGGGCAAACTTGACAATTGGGTTGCCCGCCTCGTCCTCCTCAATCGCAAGCTCGAGGTCCTCCTCGTCGCGCTCGCGGAGGAGCTCGTACGCGAGCTTGAGCGCTTTCGTAGAATGGCTATATGACGAGCCAGTCTCTAGCGGAGTATCGGTGAGGCGCCCGCCGTCTGTCGCCCGGATGAGCGGGCCTTTGACGACGGCGGCGTACTGGGTGAGCCCCAGTCCCGCCAACCACTCGCTGGCAGCGCGGAGTCTGGCAGAACCCTTGGCTCCCCCAACGAGGTTGACGTACCGATCGCCCTCCTCGATGGTCGCCGCCTTCCTCTTCTGAGTCGCGGTGCGGCCAAGGTATTTGGCCGCTGGCCGGAGCGGGTGGTCACTCGGCAGCCGGCCGAGGGCCCCGACGAAGGTGTCGAAAGCGCCGTCTGGCAGGCTCGCCCCGACACGCAGCTGCACGACAGAGTAGTCCGGCCGCTCCACCTTGAAGCCGTCCACCGTGACCGTCTCGGTCGAGTGCCCCTGCACACGCCACAGATCCCGCACGGCAGACTCGAGGCTGAACTCAGAGGTGAGTGACGTGCCCACACAGTGAGCCCACCGGCCCTTCCCCTGGGCCGTCTTTGTGGACTCGAGGTGGGCGGCAACAGTCGTCCCCATCTCGGCACATCGCTCTGAGAGCGGGTTGACGATCCACACGTCGCAGGCGGCGACGCCGTGCTGGCGGCCCGTCGTCTCGCCGAGCCGCAACCCCATCATCACCTCAAGGAGGAACATGACGCGATGACTCGAGTAGACTGCCTCCGCCTTGGCGCCGGTGCAGCACGTCTTGAGCGTCTCGTCGAGAACGAGTCGAGCGAGCTTGCGCGTGGTGTGCGTGCACGGCTGCGCGAGCTCGCCGATCAGGCTGACCATCCTCGCGCGGAGCGCCTTCACCCGGGGGTCGGACATACGACCCTTCGGGATCGACGGCCGATCGTCATGCGGGTCGGACGGCACGGAGGGGCGTGCCGAAGTCGGCGAGCTCGTACGAGCAGCAGCCTGCAAGCCGTCGGCAGCGATGCCGTCGAGCGCGGAGAGCGAGGTGGCAGCACCAGCGGTAGCTGCTTCGGCCGCGGCGTCATCCGTAATCGGAGAGGCGAGCGAAGCGTCTGGAGGCGTGCCGGGTGCCGGGTCGACAGGCGCCGAAAACTCCGAATTGCTCCCTGCCCTGCTCCCTGCCCTGCAGGCTCCATTCCCCGGCGAGGGGGAGGCGTGCGTAGAGCTGCCTAACCTGTCAGCGGTTGCGTGTTGAGTCGCGGTGCGGCCCTCGACCTTGAACATCAGCGCCTTGTTGCGCCGGAGCAGCTCGTCGCAAGTCAGCGACTCGCGGATGGCGCCAGCCTCGGCCCCGCGCTCCACGAGAGCAGCCAGGGTCACCTCCAGCTTCGTCGTGTCGGCGCGCGTTTTGGTGACCTTGAGCTTGGCCATCAGCTCTGCATTGCGCTTCATCAGTGCATCGGTGTCGAGCGTCGCAGCCTCGGCCTTAGCTGACTCGGCGGTCTTGGCGTCCGTCTCGTTGAATGTTCGTCCAAGTTCTGTTGACTGGTATCGTTGTTGCGTGATGCTCGCGTCCCGCTGCGAGTTCACTGCGGCTGGCCTGATCGCTGCCACGGTCAAGCCAAACCCTTCCGGGTCTGTGGTGAGACTTCCATCGGAGGAGAGCTCGCCGGCAGCCCGGCAGAAGGCATTCCAGCTGGCGTAGCCCTCTTCCCAACGGAGTCAGGCGGCGATGACCCCTTGAGTACATCGATGCCGCCCTTGGGCTCGCTTACGCGGCTGCCTAGCCCCAACGTGGTGTGGTAGGGATGAGAGTGGTCTGACCGTGGAGAGTCCTGGTCGAGGCCCTCTGTAGCATAACGAGGCGTCCCTCTTCTCTCGGTCGCCGAGAGATCGTCATCTGAACCCGAAGATCGGTGCCCAGCATGTATCGTGGTGATAGTGAGTCGCACGCGGTTCTGTGCGTTGGTATGCGGGTGATGAAGTTCCCGCGACAGGGCGAGCCTCCTCATCCGAGGCTGACATATTTGTAGAACGTATTCAAAGTACAAAGCGTCAATTATGCACCGGTGGCTGGGGGAGTGGCGCCATTATGCACCGAGTTGTGACACCACAACAAAGAGGTC